GGAAACAAAGGGCTTAATAAACCAAAGTGTTTTCAACATAGTTTTAGAAGAATAAGGCAATTTTAGGATCTCCATATCCGTACACCTCATCCAAGACAATCATATAGGGCACAGGTTAGCAACTTTAGCAAAATGTGTAAGTTCCAACCCCAGTAATTTTTTTTTAAACAGCCTGTGAAGTAAGCCTGTCTGGAAACTTACTGGGCATTTTCTGTGGCTGTAGGAGAGGGAGGGTGAGGAAGGGTGGAGAGCCAGATGCACCCTTTCTGGCCTAGAGAACACCTCCCACTCCACCTCCATGCTGCACAATATTTTCAACTTGGGAGGTGGAGTAGCCCAGTGAGGTTAGAGTCATTTCCCATTCCTTTTCTGTTTGTCTACCCCTTGATGATGAAACAACTACTAAATGATATTGGGCAAGTGGTAGGCACTAGATAAGTATTTTCTGTCTTGAAATCTTGATATAGAAGCCAGGAGAATATTAATCAGTTTGAGAACACTGAATTAGCTTGAGAACATTGAATTCTATCTCTCATTTACTTCTAGAAAATAATCCATTAAGATACTGTAGTTAAATAGTTTGATTAGACAATTTGTTTTAATTTATAAACATTTATTCCATTAGAATAAATTTCAGAGGGCAAGAATTTTGTCTGTTGGCTCACTTATTATCCTATGCCCTGGGCACATGGAAGATACTCAGTAAATATTTGTTGAGTGAATAAATGCGTGAATTCTCAAAGACTTTATATACACTCTAAGAGTATGGACTTTAATCTATTAGCATAAAATTTTGCCTGAAATTTTTGATTTTTCAAGTCCTGAAAGATAGAAGTAAAAGGAAAAAACAAAAAACACAAGTCATTCACCTTAAATTTATATTGTAGAATATAACAGTGCAGATGTCTAAAAAGATTATATAGGGCTGTGGTTGTGGCTCAGTGGTAGAGCACTTGCCTATAGCATGCGTGAGGAGGCAACTGGGTTCGATTCTCAGCACCACATGAAAATAAATGAATAAAATAAAAGTCTGTCAACATCTAAAAAATATTTTTTAAAAAAGATTATATAGGGTCAATAAATCAAGATTCTATGACCACCCCCTACCCCTGTGATTTTTTAAAAAATATTTTTACAACAAGGATGTCAAAGTATATAGAAGGATCACACAACTTTTCCTCCTGGTAGTCTCTTCTTCTAATTGTTCCCAGTTATCCACCAGAATTTTCTTAGTTTTTTTTATTTGTAAAGTAGAAATAATAATAGTCACTTATTCAGGAAATATTTATTGAGCACCCCTGTTTTCCAGGCACTGTTTTTTGTGGTAGGAATATATCAGACAAAAATTTCTTCCCTTGTGAATATGTAGTAGGACAGATAAAAATAAACATCATAAATGAGCAACTACATTTTATATTGTGGTAAAAAAGACAATATATCATGGTGAAAGGGATAAGGGTGTTGGGGAATGGTTGTATTTGTATCCCCCTTTCTAACATTTTATTCTAAAAAATTTTAAGCATACAGAAAAATTTAAAAAATAGTATAATGAATACCTATATACCCTCAACCTAGATTCTATAGTTGTCAAAATTTTGCTGTTTCCTTTGTCAAATATGTATCCATCTATTAACCCCTCAAACATCTTATTTTTAAAGCATTTAAAGTTAAGAACATACTAATATACCACAAAAACTTCAGTATGTACATTATTAACTATATTCAACATTAAGATTTTTATGTGAAATTATGTATATTGAAATGCACACTAGTAAGTTTACTTTTGCACATATTTTGAAAAATATAAACTCGTACTTAACTTAAACTCTTATGTAACTATCAAAATGTAGAACATTTTCATTAAATGAGAGAGTATTCTCATGCCACTTCCTAGTGATTCCCTCTTCCTACCTTTCATCCTCACCCTAAGGTAACTAGTAATCTTATATTTCTACGTGTTTACTGTCCATTTGGATATCTTTCTTTCCTGTTTAAATATTTAGCTCATTTTAAGAAATTAAGATACTTATCTTTTAACTATTGAGCTTTTGAAGTTTTTATATATATCTAAATACAAATTCTTTGTCAGATACATATTTTGTAAATATTTCTCACAGTCCTGTTTTCTTAACAGTAAAACCTTAAAATCTTTTGATAAAATAAAAATTTTAATTTCCTAAAGTCTAATTGATTACTTCTTTCACTTATGCTTAAGCATTTTATATTCTAAAACGTATTTGCAATTGGAAATAGTGCATTGAAGGCACTTTCTCATGTGATATCTGCTAAATGTCATTTACAATTTATGTAGTCTTATGCAGAATTTTCCTTTCTATCTTTGGAGACTGATAAATAAAATTTCTTCCTTGCTTAAAAAAAGGAAACATTTGAATGAAGGTAATAGTTTAGCTAAGGTGACAAGACAGTTTTTGATTGTTTTTGTTTGTTTTTAGGAAAAAAAACCTTCCATGACAGAAGGCTGTAGCCAAGGTGGGAAAATGCCTAACTTTTTTTTTTTTTTAAATGCCTAATTTTTTTGAGGAAGAACAAGGAGACCAGTGTGATGCTAATTGAGAAAAGAGTAGCTAGTGATGAGATCAGATAGATGATTGGGGTTTGGAGTAGTAGAGATCACAAGTGTCCTGTTTACCACTGTAAGGTTATAAAATTGCTTCTGAGAACCAAAAATATTTTTATAAATACTGTGACAAAACTGGTATTAGTATATCTTCTAATCATATGTCCTAAGGGTGACTTCAGGTAAGTCATTCAAATGAATTGGATTTCTTAATTTTTCTCATCTTAATCTTTTTTCCTCTATTCATATGAAATCCTTCCTTTTAGACTAAATAACCTTAGCTAAATGAATCCTGTGTCATACCATTTGAATGTCCACACATCTGTCTTTTAAAACTACTAACACTTAAGTAGCTCAAGACAAAATTGTTATGGAATAATGATCTAAGGTATGATCTGAGTAGAAGTTAAGTAAGTATATAAGAAGACTTTGCTCTCATAAAGATAGTTTGTTAAATTTGAGTCATAAACATTAATTTTTAATGTAATACATTCAGAACCTACTTTTGTGGGTTGTATAAAGCAAAAATCCCTTTTGTTCACGTGGGAATTTCCCTAATTCTGTTTATTAAATAACACATTCTTTATCAGTGGCCCAAAGATTTTTAAAAACGAAGTACAAGAGGTAACCAAAGGGTAGGGTAATACTCAGGGGTAGAACATGTGCTTAGCATACCCAAGACCCTGAGCTGGATGTCCAGGACTAAAAAAAACAAAAACCAAAAACAACCCAACAATAACAACAAAAATGCAAAACAACAAACAAATAAACAAAACCAAGAAAGGAAGGAAAGGAGGCAGGATTGAGGAAGAAATGAAGGAAGGACACAGAGGGCAGGTCTTTTCAGTGTTCTTTAGGTGAATGGGCAGCACAGAGCTGTAGATGCTAAAAGTCAATGTAGCTCAGGCTTATTGGTAAAATAGCTCTTAAAATCTAAAGAAGAGCCCTTTTTGAGTTCTTTTAATAAATGGATCAGCTCATACATATATCATACATATATTAGTAGAGTTTTCACTAATGAACTAACTTGGGCCCTTATTAGAAAATGAGAATTTCAAATATAATTGTTTTTCTTTTCATTTATAAAGCCTTTGAATTATTGCAAAAATATCTATATCATGAAACTTCTGCATGACTAAAAAAAGACTCATCACCATCTTCATAATCATCATCATCTTCCAGATTTTAGAAAAATGGAACCATGATTTTTGTCCTCAAATAGTAAATTAAACATGTAATTATTTAAAGTTTTGCTAGAATCTGTAATGATCTTCTAGTTTTAGAGAAAATAGATGAGATTTACCCTGCTCATTATAGAATGAGTGAAGTTATGAAAAATGAAAAACTATTGATGAGAGAGACATTCCAAAGTGTTTCTATTTGAAAGTGATTAAAGTGTCTACTTTTATGTTTAATGGAGTTTCATAGCTTGATGATGGTAAATTGGATATATTTAAAGTAAGGTGGCAGTTGTCATCTTTAGAATACAAAGATGTCAGAAACAAAACATAATTCTTTAAAAACAGTTGGGACTTGTGCTTTCAGGATTTAAAAAAAATATATAATATATATATGGGAAAAAAGAAGAAGAAACGTGTCTAGATAGAGCTTTTTCCTAGTATGTATGATGTCCTGGGTTTGATTCCCCAGAAAGCACATGGGCATGCACACACACACACACACACACACGCACACACACACACACACACTGTATAAATGGCATTCATTTTGTAATGGATAAAGAAGTATTTACGTACCAAATATGTTAGGCACATGAATTAATTATTGAGATAAAGGTAAACTAAATGATTCTTCATAAAATAGTAAGAACCTATTTTATGTCAATACTTTTTTAAATGAGATGGTTGGTATGCCATATATCACTTGATTAGTTCATTATTCAGGATGTGTTCTTTTCCTTATGCTTAGCAAACCATAGTGATATTTTAGATTTGAATGTGTTAATTAATGCTTTATGGAAAGTGTGTATTGGACATTTGCTTTTTCCTTATCTAACTTAAGAGGAAACTTGAATTAATCATGTGATGGCTATTTTTAACACAACAATAAAGCCCCTTTAATCTGCAGTGCTCAAAGTATTGAATAGAAACCTATTAACAGAAATGTTTTGTATTAGAGTAAAGTGGGTTTAAATACTCTTAATATGCAAACTTTTTGAGGCAAAGACTCATCAGTCCAGCCACTTCTGACCCTATAATAGCCCATACTCTAAGAGTCATTAATAACAGCTATTAGTCAAGACCCTCTTGGCTTGATTTTTGATGGCAAGGAAAGAGTAAGGGTGTTGCATCTTTCCTGGAACTGAACCATAGTGATGTGACTGTTGGTCCCTATATTTCACATTTCATATTTCCACATAAACAGCAATTTTAAAATGAGACCAATTTTATTTATTTTTCAGATCATGTGGATGAGCGAACAATATGCAATGGAATTTCCCCAGAAAAAGATGTGGATGGATTTCATATTATCAATATTGGAAGACTGTGCCTTGATCAGCATTCTCTCATACCTGCCACTGCTGGTGCTGTTTGGGAAATAATTAAAAGAACAGGTTGGTAACTTGGGGTCTGATGGACAGAGGTATTAGGTCCTGAAATGAGCATTTGCAGATTGCCTTGATAGAATTTACCTTAACCCTGCAAAGTGACAGAAATAATAAGCCACAAAACTTTAGTCTGTAGATAGGTATAAAATTATAGGAGTCAAAGACCAAATCCAAAATGAAATGGAATGAAGGCCATGTGCCAGGTTATGGGCACTGCAGTTGTAACATGTAGGGAGTAAATTTTCCAAATTGTAGTTTGTTTCCCTACTTTTAAACTATAAATTTCATGCATTTGGATGAAAACTTTTTCAAAATGAGTTATATTTTCCATTAATAAACTAACATGTTGTTCTTATGGAAGCCATGTCTATTGACCTAAGATTTCACGGTAAACATTTGTTCTTCTACTATGCCATATACAGTCTTGCTCTCACAGACTGCCTGGGAGTATAGAGATATTTACCTCTATGTTAATTGACCTCAAATTGCTTTGTGTGTTGATGATTTTCCTGCTGCCACCACTATCACCTCTCTATCTGGCAGCATCTTCTCTATTCTAATCTGCTGTTTTCTGAGACAAAATCTCCAAGAGAAAGCAGATCCTAGAATCATACTCTGAAATAATTATACTTAGAAAACCCTAAGTTTCAACTTCTTTATTTTACTTATGAAGAAACTGAGCCCCAAAGAGGTAGAGTATATGAATTTTCAGGCTTTATCTTTTTCATCTTTCGAAGATGGGAAGTTTGGTGCTTCTTTTATATGGAATGAAGTACATTAGCACTGTGTAAAATCCTTTTTTTTTCACTTACTTTATTCCAGCTTTGCTCAAAATTTGATTGCCAGTGAAGCTTGATATTGTTGTACTTGGTTTATTTTGTCATTAGTAGTTAATATATTTTAAGGCTTTGCACTTCTAACTCTTCAAGTGAATCTCAATGTTTAAAATTAATTTGATGGAAACTTGAGGATGTTTGTGGTTTTTAAATGAGGACATAATCAAAGGGAAAGTGACAAATCCAAGAAGCATAAAAATATGCTTATAAATAATTGAATGTGGGCATGTTAGAAACAAGCTGTGTAAATCCAAATTTAATTAGAACTTTTTAAAGAATGTTTCAGTTGAGTGTTCTGATGCTTAATTTGTTTCTTGTTGTTGATTCTGCATTTAAACCAAACTCTGTATTTTAAGGAATTGAAACATTTGGGAAAAATGTGGTTGTGGCTGGAAGATCCAAGAATGTAGGCATGCCTATTGCCATGCTTTTGCACACTGATGGAGAGCATGAACGGCCAGGAGGTAGGTAGGACCTTGCAGATTCCATATATTCTTAGATTTTCTTTCATCTTCCATCATCAAGTAAAAATTTAACAATTTGACTTCACATACTTGTGGATATATGCAATTAAAGGTTTCCTTTATTCCTTATCTAATGGTATGAAAGCCTTGAAAGTGATTAGAGAATTGCTGAAAATATGTGGCCCTGTTGTTTCTTTTTTTTTCCTCTTTTTTTTTGGCTGTATACTTTCTTTAAGTCATTATAGTCATCAAGAAAGGCTGAAAAGTCACAAGATACTAAAAAATCACATGCCTCAGAAAATTATCAGAACCTTGGAAAGTTGGATGTAGATTTCCTAAAATGGCAAGGTCTTAGTACTTTACAAATAAGCTAGTTACCTCACTTTATAGACAAGGAAGCTGAGTCTTAGGGTTAACTGATTATCTAGAACAGACAAATAGCCATTAAATTGTGAGTAGTGACACCCCAAGTCTCTAAGAAAGCCCAGGCAAAATGTGATGGTGCTTGAGAGCATGGGGGCTACATTCTTTAGGTGCCTGTCATCACACCATCATCCCAGGACCTTGTTTATTTAAATATCCTGATAGCTGTGATAGCTGAGCAGCTCTGCAGGAATGAGGATGGGAATAGGGTGAGAAAGAAGTTTAGCAAAAGGGTAATAGGGCATTGCTCATGGTTGCCTGAGTCAGTGTTGTGGGCAGAAAACAAAAGGTTACTCATCCCATTGCTTTCTGTTAAATTCTGTATCTTGTTCTAACATGGATAAAAAACTAATTTCATATTCTTAATAGAAGTAGTTATTGGTCTGTATTTGTCAAGAAATTTTCAATACTTCCTTTACTGCTTATTTTCTTAATCTTTTTCCTAGTCTTTGATGTAGTAAGTACTTCATTGGTTTAATTCCAAAAATACCAGGGGATTTTCTTGGTTTTCTAATATTAAATCAGAGTGATAGAGACAACAACATGCTTATGTACAACATACATATTACTGTACATAGATATATACATTTCTTAACATTATAAACCTTAGTGAATTTTAGTTTCTTGATATTAAAATTTTGTGATACTTATTTTAGGATCTTGGCTGACATATCTGAAAAATATTTTTCATAATATATGAAAAATATTTCATATTTAAAATATGAAACCAATGAAAAAATAAACCCAATGTTAATGTATTTAAATTGATGAATGATGAAGATTTGAATATTATTTTCCCTTTCTGGGCTAAGGATTTAAATATTGTCAGAAGTCACTATGTGTGTATAGACATTGTAAGTTAGGGTTGGGAGCTTTTAAAAGCAGGGAACTTTTAAAAGACTTAGTTTTGAAGAGCTCTCTGAAAGACCACATGTGATAGTACAACAGTTTTCATGATGCCCATGTCCAAGGCTACTTTCGTAGCCTCACTGTTCACTTCTATCTTATTTCATTATGGCTTCCCTATCTCTTAGGTATAATAATTATATTGATTCAGTTTGCCTTCATGTAGTCATTTCTGAGTTAAGCAAGGTAAGATAATGAGAAATATTTAACTAGGTATACTACAATTTTGACTAAAAGCCAGGCAGTATGTTTTTCATTATTTTCAACATTTTGTTGTCTTTTCTAATCAATAACATAATAACCAACATTGTGTAGTTTTATGTTTTTCTCAGTACTTTTTTATGAACTATCTCATTTTTTTCAATAATTAGTATATATTAACGTTATTTACATCTTTGTAGCTAAAGGAAATGAGCTTTAGAGACTTAGTAGGACATGCCCAAGGCCCCAGGAGCAAATGGGGTTCAGAGTTGGGAGCTGGTGCTGATGTTATGGCTGGAAGGGAAGAACTGGAGTCAGACTCTTTTGTTGCCACGCTTGTGACCCTGGGCAAGTTATTTAATTGGTGTAGACCTCCTCTTTTTCATCTATAAAATGCAAATAATGTTATCATCCATTTCACTTGGTTATTGTGAAAATTAAATGAGAAAAAATTAAATGAGATATAAATGTTAAGTGCTAATAATAGTGCCTAACACACAGTAAGTTAAGTTGCTACAAGTAGCTGTGGCTGTAGCTATTGTTTCAATCATATGCTTAATAACCTGTTATGTTTCCAGCCATAAAGTGTAACATAATATGATCTGAGGTTAATGATATGTTTTTAACCTTTATTTGAAATTTTATTTTCTTTTTCTGCTATGTTTTTTATTTGCTGTTTTTAGATCATATCTAGTTTTTTGTAATAATTTGAATAAAAAGACTTTATAAAAGCCTGCAAAGTATTTGATTAGAAATGTGACATTCTAATATGCCAAATAATACTTTTTACAGTGTGTACATTTTTATATAAACATGCTAATTTCTTGTTGAGTTTCAATTTGGAATTAGTTATTTGCCTACAAAATACCTGAGAAAATCAATTTACTCCTCTTTATTGCAATTTTAGACTAGTAATCCTACTGCATATAATTTTATTATATATGGATAATTTATAGGTACATACATGTGTAGTAAAAATAGCTATGTAAGTATGAGAAAGATAAGCATGAATTAATGGTAGTAATGAGCTCTGGAGAATGAATTGTAGGATAAAAACATATTACTTTAAAAATATCTTATACATTGTGTAATGAAATAGTCTCATTTGAAAACATATTAAAAATTGAATAAATGTGGATTTAGTTTTAGTGCTGGTTATAAACAGACAGTTAAACTTACCTTTATTATCATGGTACCTAAGTGCCGTTATTGAAAGCAAAAATAAATGAAACAGGGAACAGACCTCAATGGATCAGCAAGCTTTCTTTATTAAGCAACAAAATGGCACATTTTCAGGGGAGAACATGGCAACTGGTTACAAGAAGGGTCTGATTTTTATAGGGTTTAAGTGAGACTTAATCACCATAACAGCATGGGTAGTGAGACTTAACCATATAGACTTAATTATAGCAGAATATGTCAGGTGAGCAGTCAGGGAAATATTGTAGAAGGAGAAATTGTGAAAGTTCAGAGCCCATTGTTTCCTTGACTCCTCGGGACCCATTGTCCTCCTTTCTTCTTGGGAGTTGTTGTTCCCCCTTTTCCCTGGGGGTTGTTTTCCTTATCCTTCAGTTACAATTATAGAATCTAAAATATAACAAATATTACAAAAAATGGTTTCCAAAACAGATATTTAATCTCACGAATATTTAATAGGACTGTGGTGACATATTATTAATATGATGAATTGTTAAGAGCTGCTTACTGAAGATTTTGAATCTGTGGGAAAGTTAATATTTCAATGTCCCTGTCTGGTAGAGCAGTAATTATGTGCAGTGACTCCATGTGCATTGTTAACTAATGGAGATAATGAAGGAGGATTAACTCTGCAAATTCATATCTATAGAACTTGTTCTACTGACACGCACAAAGTTAAGCATTCAGCTCATGCTGTGTATTTCTTTGCCAGAAGAGATTCAAACTCTAATCATTCATTTTTGTCTGAAAGCCAAAGATAATTGCTGTAAAAGAAAAATGGCCAAACTATAATTTAGCTTGATTCATAAGTGTCTACCAATGGTTAGCTTTTTTTTTTTTTTAAGTAAATACATGGACCTCAGATGTTTTGTGAAGAAAAACTTCTTTTAATTCTCCTGGGGCATGAAACATTTGAAATGAAAACGTGCTAAAATCTTGAAGTAAAAGAGTAGGGCAGACTGATACTCAACCCTCAGAGGAAGCAAGGACAGAGATTCCCTTCTGCTGAGGACAGGCTATTTACAGAAGGCTCTGTAGGGGATTGGGCATTTGAGCCATTATGTAGCTTAAAGACAGGAGGTGAGAGATGGTTCTTCTTCTCCTAGAACTGTGGTCTTGATGGTAGTGATGGGGCATGAAGGGACATGATATAAAAGTAGGGTAAATTTGGATATTCAGTGGTACAAAACAAAATATTTTTGTGGATGCCCATGGTAAAGGGAACTGATATAAAGTGATCAACAGTGGAAAGTCTCTTCTTAGCTCCACTAATTATTAAGCTGTTTGAATAGCTTTGTGACCATTAGTAGATCACTGTGTATTCTTTTTTTTTTTAAGAGAGAGAGAGAGAGAGAGAGAGAGAGAGAGAGAGAGAGAGAGAGAGAGAGAATCTTTTTTATAGATGGACACAACACAATGCCTTTATTTTTATGTGGTGCTAAGAATTGAATCCGGGTCCCGCCCATACTAGAGGACTGCTCTACCGCTGAGCCACAATCCCAACCCAATCACTGTGTATTCTTGAGGCTTCTTTGTAGTGACCTACCCAGTTCACCTTTGAGAATGGAAACTGAATACCATTGCTTTAGCACATTGTCTGTTTTTAGCTTTACCATGAGAAAGGAAGAGAGAAACTTTGCAATGTCTTTAAAACAGTTTTTCTTCTTTCAAGATAACACAGTGCCCTAATGACCAAGGAATTATTGTCACCCAAGGAATTAAGATTTTATTTTGAATTCTTTTAGAGTAAGTTACTCTCTCTGTATTGCTAATCTTATGCATGCTATCTCCTGTGAATAAGTCCCTCTAAATGGTCACAAAATGGGTTACATCGTCCTCCTTTAACTAAAAGGTTGTGGCATCAGTGCAGGAACACTTTTTAAAGAGTATTTGCAAGACCAGCAAAGAAAGCACAACCTCTTATTTTGTTTAGAGTCCTATAAGCCTGGTAATATGTATTTTTTCCCCAGTACTGGAGATTGAATCTAGGACCACATACATGCTAGGCAAGCATTCTACTACTGAGTTACACCCCCAGCCCCTTTTTATTTGATCTTGAGACAAGGTCTTGATAAATTGCAGAGGCTGGCCTTGAACTTGTGATTCTCTTGCCTCAGCTTCTTGAGTAGCTGGAATTACAGTGTATACCACCATACCTGCTGTGAGATTTTTTATTTCACTCAGCTGATATTCATTCAGTACTTAATCTCTGTGAATCGCTGTGGGATACATCAGTGTAAAAAACTTTGTCCTCTATTTTCAGAAGCTGCCAG